AACGGCGACTAACGTTCGTAGAATTCCTAATGCAACTCGCTTCTTCTTCATGCCCGGTGAAACGAGCCGGAGGTGCTCGAATCCAGCTCATTGTCATTCATTGTAATTCTAGAAGGACCGGCGCTTCCACGCCGTTTGTAGATGTCGTAAAATGAAAAGAAGGAAAAAAGACAGAAGGAAAGACAGAAAGAAAGAAAGAAAGAGAGAGAGAGAGAGAGAAATAAGGATAGGAGAAAGAAAAAGGTGAATTTTATTTTGGAGCCCCTGAAAAAATTCTTGATAAATATTATGTGAATATTATTAATTCTTGATAAATATTAATTGAAAATGAAGTATTAATAACACTGTACAACACGTGTTTTGCGTTTCAAGATTAGGCGAGTAGGTACATGATGCAAATGATTGACTGGGAAAGAAAGAATAAAATTTTTTCATTTCAAATACACGTACATTCAATCTCAATATGCTTTATGCGTGTTAATAAACATTTTTAATAATAGTTTTCAGATAAGTAGAATGAGTAAAATGAAAGAAATTCTTTTATTAGATTTCCCACGCTATTAATTATTAATAATAATAATAATTCCTTTCTTCTAATTAAATTTCTAATGTGCTGTTTCGAAATTTTCATTTTTAAAACACTATACTAGTTTTTTAATTCTTAAAACACTATACTAATTTTTTAATTCTTAAAACACTGTACTAATTTTTTAATTTTTAAAACACTGTACTAATTTTTTAATTTTTAAAACACTGTACTAATTTTTTAATTTTTAAAACACTATACTAATTTTTTAATTTTTAAAACACTATACTAACTTTTTAATTTTTAAAATACTATTCTAATTTCTTTTTTTAATTGTTTAATATTTGCTATTGCTTGTATACTCATTAAGTGACTTTTAATAAACATGATTTTCTTGTTGAATTTTCAAATATTTAATAAAACGTATTTCTTAAATATTAAAAACGTAATTTCTTAAATATTAAAAATCTGATCAACCGTGCTTGTAACCAAAAAGAAAATTAAATGTCACAAGTGTAGGGTATAGAAACTGAAAAGTTAAACATTCCCAATGCCCTAAGCGCAACTTGAGATAACTAGAATGAATTTCATGCGTTTACAAATTAGTTTTACTCGCGTATAATTTCACGCGGAACAACTGGAGAACAAGAAATTAATCGTTAATTCCTGGCCCTCGGAGGGCTAGATCCGCTGCTGGCATAAGCGGCAGCAATGTTCTTTGTTTCCCGGTACTGTTTTATAAGCCCACATTTCTTTTTTTTTTTTTTTTTTTTGGTTGGCTCTCCGTTATGACTTACGGCTTAGTTTCGAAACGCAGCTGGTTAAAATTGCTTTTCCGCATACGTGCAGGGCCTTGAAAAGGGCACACGTCCGTCACGTAACGCGTCATTCATTTCCGTTAAGAGTTATTCAACCGGTGTCCAAGGAATCCCTCTTATTTTTCTTCAATTTCGTCATAGTTTTCTGTACGTGCTTACGAGCCTCAATTACGAAGATTCGTCGTCGTTGCACACGTTGAGTAATAGTTTTGCCATCATGCTGTGCAGTAGGACTACATTTATATAAGCTTGTTGTAGAACAAGTAGTTTACATAATAGGATTCTGTCCTCTACCGATGACGTTTCGTTCGTGTAATAAAAGAAATTCAGGTTTCAGATAAGTATAGGGTCGTCACTGAAGAACTGAAGGGTTTGAAAAAAGTCACAACTTTTGTTCATTTTCAATCTTTCTTATAGAAAAAAATCAATTAATTATATTTCCAAGTAAAATAATAAAAAATTTGAAAGACATGTGTTTGTAAAAGTTATTTCTGTTTTATATCATTCAGTCGTTCTAGAAAGAAAATTCAAATAAATAAAATCTATTGTAATTACACATGTTATTAAGTGAATATCTATATTTACAATAAGGACGAACAAGTTGAAATATTATAATGTACAAATCGGCATTTGGTAAATGAATAATCAACTATGTTATTCTAGATGTGTTAAATTATTGACTGATTTACAGACAAACAATTTACAGAGAGAGAGACATTAAATGGATATTTCTGCTTAGAAAGCATTGATACATGACATTTTTACTTTTATATTGTAATTTTTAATTAAATGTTTAAATTATTTTTCATTACTCTTCAATATTAAAAGTTATCTCACTTCCTATGTTATTTACTTTTAATTATTTGCTATTATTTACTACTTAAATATTTAATATTATAGTTGCAAGTGACTAAATATTAGTGCTCGAGTGTGCTATGGCGAATGGAATGTGCATATATTTTTGTATATATTAATAACTGATGAAAAATGTACGTTAATAATATCACAGTATCAAAATATTTTTTGTATAAGTGAAATATTAATAATGTCAAATAATTAATTCGATTTTCATAAAAAACAATTACGGTTGGTATTGTTTCATTATAAAGATATGTACATAGTATCTTGGTAATTTGCTTTCTATTTTAATCAACAATACAATTTCAGATATAAATAATTCAATGACTTCATTTTAATTACAATCATATTTATTTATTTCATTTATTTCAATTTAGTTTAGTCATATTTATTTGTTAAATATTATTTTAATATTACTAAATATAAAATTTATAAAAAAATAGTAGTTCTAGTACCAATTCTCACAAATTCATAGTCTTTGCTGTTTTATAGGAACAGAACAATTATTACTGGTTTTCTATTATTTACAATCTAATAAAATAATTTTTATTGTCGTGTTAAATATAAAATTTTTACTTGAATGTTTAATTTTCATTACTCTTCAATATTAAAAGTTATCTTTACTTCCTATGTTATTTACTTTTAATTCTTTGCTATTATTTACTATTTAAATATTTAATATTATAATTGCAAGTGTAAATATTAGCGCTCGAGTGTGCTGTAGCGAATGGAATGTTTATCTAATTATCGTATGCTATCTTTAAAATTATGCTCATTTGCTCGACACCGCAAAAGTGACCACCGCTATTTTGAGATCGACCACCGATGAAACCGCGGTTGATTCATTCACCATAATGAGATGCACGTTATTCATGTTAAATTCAATTGTTAAATTCGCAAAGAGTAATTAAGTGATGTTAATTCAAATAGCAAACGTTTCGACTAGTGTCAAATAGTATTTTTATATATAATTATATATAATTATATATAATTATGAGAAGTTTTGTATAAAACAAAAATTTAATCTACCAGCTATTTTTACAAAGTCTGCAGTTTAGGACTCTTTTCATTTTGAATTATATTATATCAAAGTACTTCTTTTTAGTCATTTGGTGACATTAAAATTAAAAATTCAACAAAAATGCACTACAGTCTTTCTTTTGCAATCTTCATATTAAGTTAATATTTATAAACTCAAACACAGATTTACTTTATTCGTTAAACGAATTATAACGAGTGTCATACTTTTGATATTTTATATACTTTTTTATGTATATTCATTACATGTATTATATAATCCTAATCCTATTGCAATTTTAAAATTCGTTAATGTATAAAAATTCGTAGCCCAAATAATGTATGATAAAATTCCGTTTATTAAAATTTTATAGATATTAACAAATTCTAAAATATTAACATTGCAGACATAAAATCTTAATAACATTAAAATTTCAACAACATTATCTGTTTCTTCACATATTATTTTTGATTTCAACGATTACTAGTATAAAATCTTCAATGTTAAAATTTCGACATTTTTTATTTTAATTTGTAATCGTAATGATATTCGAAATTAAATACAACATATAAACGGAAATTTCATGAATGTTAAATTATTTGAAACGTTTCTACTTCAACTAGTAATGTTAGTTTAACTAACAATTCTACTTCAACTAGTAAATCTCATGTTAATCAATAATGGTAATAATTAGATTACGGATTTCTATGCAAATTCATATTTTTGAGATTAAAAAAAAAAAAAAAAAGGAAAAATAGAACTCTAGTGGAAAATTGTTGTACGTACATTTTTCATATTACGGGATATTATATTATATCCTATTATATTATAAAGATATTATATTATGTCCTATTATATTATAAGGATATTATATTATATTCTGTTATATCATAAGGATATTATATTATGTCCTGTTATATCATAAGGATATTATATTATATTCTATTATATCATAAGGATATTATATTATATCATATTATATCATAAGGATATATTATATCCTATTTTATTATAAGGATATTATATTATATCATATTATATCATAAGGATATATTATATCCTATTTTATTATAAGGATATTATATTATATCCTTTATTAAATTGCAAAGAAATCCGTAATCTATTAATAATAATTCCAAATTTCGTTGTTAAATGCATAATACTTGCAAAGCCGTCATGAAAATTTCAACATTTCATGTTTTCCATTTCAACTAATAAATCTTGCTCCGACCAACAATTGTAATAATATTCTATCGTTAACCCTTTGCACTCGATTTATTTTCAATGTTGTTGGGTGTAAACTTGTAATTTATTTTTAGGGAAATGAAATTAAAGTAATTTGCAGCGATAGAATTCAACGTTTTCATTTATTATTATCATAATAAGATTTAACTTTTAGGATCCTTTAAAGTGTGGTGCTTTCTTTAGCATGACACACGAGTTCTGTAACAAATTTGTATTGTAATCTGCAGCATGACATAGGAGTGCAAAGGGTTAACCACTTGCGCTGGCAACTGATTGCGGACCATAACGAGCGACCAAACCGTACACAACAATTCATTGCTTTCTTTTTCAACTCGCCGGCTATGACATCACCGGATAATAAATCTATCATTTGTTTTGCCCGGGTTATATACTTGAATATACTTGAAACTGAGAAAATATTGGAATTGTTGGAACGATTGCCCCGAAATTGCAATATTGGGAACAGAAAGTTCTTGACGCGCTTGGGCAAAAGGTGAAACATCAGCCCGAAGAACTGACGAAATTTTCACCTCTATTTTTCAGAGGGTAAACTGCGAGGCCCCGTTGGTCGACAGCAGCGCGCTGCCTCTGGAACACAGATCGGTTTACGGTCCACCGGCGCAGTATGGCCCTCCAGCGACGCACGCCGCCGAGGAGAATTGGCCTCTCGCTTCCCCGGACACGCCTCAAATAAAACACCTGCAGGTGCAATGCGAGAAAACGCACATGCGAGTGAACATCGAGTTCGACAGGCCGTTTTACGGGATGATATTCAGCAAGGGTTTCTACTCGGACCCGCACTGCGTCCACTTGAAACCGGGCACCGGCCACCTCAGCGCAACGTTCGAGATCTTCTTGAACTCGTGCGGGATGAGCTCGTCGGCGAATCACAATGTGGCGGCTTACGGGGCGCCGACGCCATCAGGCAGTTACGTGGAGAACACCATAATCGTCCAGTACGATCCGTACGTGCAGGAGGTCTGGGATCAAGCCAGGAAGCTACGTTGCACCTGGTACGACTTCTACGAGAAGGCAGTTACGTTCAGACCGTTCCAAGTGGACATGTTGCACGCCGTCACCGCTAATTTCCTTGGCGACAATCTGCAATGCTGGATGCAGATCCAAGTTGGCAAAGGGCCATGGGCCAGCGAGGTGTCCGGTATAGTGAAGATAGGGCAAACGATGACCATGGTCTTGGCTATTAAGGACGATGAGAATAAGTTTGACATGTTGGTGAGGAATTGCGTCGCTCACGATGGCAAGAGGGCACCTATTCAGCTGGTGGATCAATATGGCTGCGTGGTTAGGCCGAAGATTATGTCCAGGTGAGTGGCAATGTCTTGTTCTCTTATTTGTATATTTAAAGGCGACTCATGATGCTGTTTTGTTATACGTATAATATTATTTAATAAATATAAATATAATAAACAAGTAGAAAATGTTAATCTGTATATTATTTTATTCTTTCTACTTGCTATGTTATATATTTTGTTACTTAAAAATTTGATAGTTTGACAAGCTTAATGTTATTTGTTTAACAAGTACATTAACTGCTAGAGTATCTTTATGGATGAATGTAATACGTTTGCAATCTCTGATTTAAGAAATGTTACTCGAGTGTGAGACAATGATATTTAATAATTGTCACAAGTATATACGTAGCAGGTTTAACAATTGACCTCAATTGACAGATTAGTATTTAAAAAGAAACTGCGATTGAAAGAAATTAATAAATTAAAGAAATTTAGGAAATTAGAAAATATAGAGAAGAAAATAGAGAATTTAACATAATAAATTATATATTTATATTTATATTTTATAATAAATTATATATTTATTATATATTTATATTTATATTTAAATTTATTATATATTTATTATATATTTATATTTATATTTAAATTTATTATATATTATATATTTATATTTATATTTTATAAGATAGAAAATTTGAAATTAAAAGGATATAATCTACTGTGCAGACACCAAGTACAATGTACAATTGTTTGTGTCTGTTGCAGGTTCCAAAAGATAAAGAACTTCGGCCCAAGCGCCTCCGTTGTCAGCTTCGCATACTTCCAAGCCTTCAAATTCCCCGACAGTATGAACGTCCACTTCCAGTGCGTGATACAAGTGTGTCGTTACAACTGCCCGGAGCCGAAATGTGGACATCCTGGATTAGAATACGGTGCCCCTGCTGCGGCTCTCGCTCAGGAATACGGTGCACCGGTTCATCAGAGTCTCGGTGCCGAATACGGAGCACCACCAGTACCTGAATACGGTGTACCACCGGCATTCGCTGATCCTCGGCACCCTAGTGGGCCCGCTGGAGCTTACAGGTAGAGAATCTGATATAAGGAATAATAATTTTCGATGATTAATCCTTCGAATGTTGATACTATTAAAAAATTACAATCCATTATTACTGCATTATTACTGTATTATATATTACATACAATTTTAAATTTAATTTTAAATTAAATCAATTTAATTTTAATTTTAAATTAAATCAATTTAATTTTAATTCTAAATTAAACAATTCAGCAACTATTTAGTAGTTCAGTAATTTACTATTAAAAAGTTACAATCCACTATTATTGCAAATTATAATACAGTAACATAATATGTAATATGTATTATATATTACATACAATTTTAAATTTA